CCACCCGCTCCCTGCAGCACAGCGCCCCCTGCTAGGCCCCCACCCGCTCCCTGCAGCACAGCGCCCCCTGCTGGGCCCCCACCTGCTCCCCGCAGCACAGCACCTGCTGCTGGCCCTCTGTGCTGGGCTCCTAGGTGATATGGCATTTGCCTAGGGAGCGCAGGGTGGTGGGTTCAAGTCTGCGCCCCCTGGGAGTGGCTGGGGGGGCCACACAGGCTGTCCCAGGGATGAACCTGGCTCCTGCATTAGGAAAGCAGGATAAGGGACCCGCAGGAGGTGAAGTGGGATCTCCAGTGAACTCAGGGTTCAGGCTACTCTCCCTCCCTGTTTGCTGGAGCACAGCAGCCTCTAGTGCTGCATTGAGGCAATGGAGCAGACTGACTGGGGGGGGGACCCTGCCTCCTGCTGAGCCCCCCACAGGGTGGCCACAAAGTGGGCACTTGGGAAGTGGGGCCAGTTTGTTTGGGGGTCTCCGGTTAGCTCCTAACTCCTCTCTCATTCCCCTCTGGCAGACTGAGCGTTCCTCCAAACCCTCCTCTGATGCCCGTCTTCTCCCAAGCCCTGAGTCGCCTTCCACCCACCTATGACCCATCCACATACCGACCCTTCCTGGCCACGTACGGCACCCACTATGTGAGCCAGGCAGTGCTGGGCGGGCGTGTGCGGCAGCTGACGGCCATCCCGACCTGCCGGGCAGCGCTGGACGGGCTGACAGACGCTGAAATCAAGGAGCGCCTGAGCTCTCAGTTCCTGCAAGCCCTGGGCTTGAGCCGATTCCCCTCCCACTTCCGTGAGCCGAGCAGCCGGAGCAACTGGAGCTCCCAGGCGGCCTACACGGATCACCGCACTGAGGTGACGGGGGGCCATGGCCATGCCAACCTGCTCTACTCCACCAAGCAAGACCCCAGGGCCCTCTCGGCCTGGCTGGAGAGCCTCAAAGCCAGCCCCGGCCTGATCTCCTTCTCCCTGTCACCCATCCACACCCTGGTGAGGCCGGGAGACCCCCGGCGGGAGGCGCTGAGGCAGGCAGTGAAGGAGTACGTGGCTGAGCGGGGGCAGAGGAGGTGCCCTCGACGGTGCCCACAAGGCGGCTACGCCGACCCCTTGGAGCCCTGCAAATGCCGTTGCTCCGGAAACCCCTTCACCAACTCCATGTGCTGCTCCCTGCAGCGGGGCCTGGCCCGGCTGAAGGTCCATATGATGTGGGGCAGAGACCTGTGGGGGGACCCCACGTCCGCCAGCGAAATCTACATCAAGGTCTTCTTCCAAGGGCAGAAGCTGCAGACGGGCTACACTAGGAACAACAACAACCCCCAGTGGTTTGAAGACCTGAACTTCGGGGTGGTGACGCTGCCGGCGCAGCCCGAATTGAAAATGGAGGTGTGGGACAAAGACCCGTGGCCCTTGCCTGACGACCGGCTGGGAAACTGCCACACTCACCTCACGGCCGGCAGGAACGTGACTGAGACCTGCACCGTCTCGCCCGGCCTCGGGACGTATTCCTACTCGCTGGAGTGCGGGCCCAACCTGGGCAGGGACACCTGCCAGGAGTACGTGCCCGTGAGGGGCTGAGACGGTGGAACCCGGCAGTCCAGCCGTCCAGCTTCTGCTCTCACCACTAGCCCCCGCTCCCTTCCCAGAGCCGGGGACTGAACGAGGTGTCCCCATTCCGTTGCGGTTTTCAGTAGCTCTGGTTGTGCTGCCTGCACCGTGCAGCCCCTCCTTAACAGCATCACGCTAATAAAGGGGGCCCTGGCATTGGTATTGCACCAGACCCAGGGGCTCTGTGGCCACCACAGGCGTCTGCATTGGCACCGGTTCAGCCCCTGCACAAACAGCCCAAAGCCGAGACCCCCAGAGAAACAAGCCCCAAAACAGCCCCCCGGGCCCAGAGAGTAAAAGCAACTTTTGACTAAAGCAGGCCCAGTTCTGCCGGGCACAAGCTGGTGCCCCCTGGAGCCTCCCCTGGGAACACCCTCCCCTGCCCCCTG